CAACACGCGAATTGAGTTTTCTGCTACTGAAAATATGAATGCTGCTATTGTGTGAGCTACTCGAGGATAATTCTATCAGTTAAATTCTAGTGTGAATATACTTGTGGTTGGATCTAAGAAACCATCACTTTGCTTCTTATAGCAGGAATTAACCCACCAGCTAAACAGAGTTTGACTGCCCTTTTCCTTGTCCCTCCCTTAATCTTTTCTTTTTTTTAACTTTTTTTTCTTCTTGGCTCCTGTGTGGGCTAGTTTTTCTCTTTGATTTTATTTTTACTCAGTGACAGAAAGCATAAAAGCCTCAGCTTTTGTATATCACCGCTTTGTGTGCAGGAGAGACTGGAACTTTTTGATGTAACTGCATTAGATCTTAAAGCCCGTTTTGGCAAGCGTTTGCCACAGCCATTACCTAGAGGGCTTTAATGAAAGAAATCTGTACTTTCTGTTTGTGGTAAGTTGGGTCTTTCATCATGGTGTTTATTGAGTGCAGCTGTTCACCCTCTCCTTCCTGTAGGCCCATGGAGCCCCAGGTCTCTGGCCCACTTTGCATCCAGATGTAATGACATATTTACATATTTGTGACAGATAAAATGTCATCCTAGACACACAGTTGTCATCCGAACATAATATCTGTGTGCTGGTAAGAAAGAGGTTTCTTTCACACCATCTGAGGAGGTCGCCTGATGGCAAGGCACTGCTTTTTTGGCAAATCTTCTCCACAGCCATAACATGTTCTGAATGGGTTACAGTTGTGTTGTATTAGTACTTGTGCCAGATTTTTCTGATTCAGAAGGACGCCAGGGTAGAGGTATAGGCTGTCTGAATTTATTAAAATATTTCCTAACCTCACCATTTACCACAAAGTTCTCCTTCATAGCAGATTCAATCTTTGATGTGTTAATAAACTCAGTCAAAAATCTCACTCACTCACTCACACACACACACGCTTNTTTTAAATGTCAATTTATTCAAAACACCCAGTTATGCTTTTTCCCCCCTTTCTTTTTGCTCCCTTAGGCTATGAATCGCTCTCTTGCTAATGTGATTCTTGGAGGATATGGTACTACTTCAACAGCTGGTGGGAAGCCAATGGAAATTACTGGCACTCATACAGAAGTGAATATGGACGGTGCAGTTGATATGATAAAGGAAGCCAATAACATCATAATCACTCCAGGTGAAATTGGGCTGCCTGTATTCTGTAACTGTTGAATGTAAACTGAGAATTTCCAAGTGTACAAATTGTTTGAAAGCCAGCAAGAGGATTTTTCATTAAATTAATTTTATGCCCTCAGTTTGTTAAAAATAGGCTACATTCGTGTGAGTTTTAAGCAGTTGCTGCTTTCCCTTCAGAGTTATCAGGAGCATACATCTCATACAAGAGCATGTAAAAATAAGATCATAGGGATTACACAAGAGGCAATTAGTCCAAGAGATAGGGAAAAAAATCCCTTAAACCCAAGTTGCTTAAACCCAAATTTCTTCTTTTTAAAGAGTATATGAAGATAGTCCAAAAGACTCCTTCCTTCCAATTTTAATGTGGAATGTACAGATCTCAAAAGGAGAACTACATCAGTGTGTGATGTTTGAGGACTGGGTTATTCATCATTGCTTCGCCTTGGCTTATGTGTTGAGCAACACTGTTGAATTCTACCTGCTCCTCTGGCATGCTGTAGAACTCAGGTTGAACTCTGCACTCAGCAGTGGAAGTTCACCATACGTTGTCTCTAACCCAAACTTATTTCCAGTGCTATTGTGATGAAAATGTGGATGGTAGGGTTCAGATATACCACCTGAAACTTCTATAGCATGCTAATCTAATAAATAAAACACAATATTAGAGAATCACAGCACAGCAAAGTTTAAATGAGTTAGTCTAAGGCAGTGTTTTTCAACCACTGTGCCGCGGCACACTAGTGTGCCGTGACATAGTGTAAGGTGTGCCGTGGGAGAATTACTTTATATATA